TGATATCCTGGTAAATAATTGGCTATTGGTATTGGCCAACAAAATCTTATATCGGTGCACCCCTAATAATGAATAGTACTTACAGACCTTAGTTTGCATGTGTGCATAAATTGTATACTGACTCTGACCCTTAATTGTGGATGTCTATCATCTATGTTGCTCTTGACCTTATTTTACATGGGATGGGGCTCTCAATGCCTACAGTTGTTAGTCTGTGCCATCACTTGGGTAGTGTTAGTGCAGAGATGAGTTCTGAGTAGGCAGTAGGGACTCTACTTGTAGTAATCTGTCCAAATCAGCACATAGATAATGCCCAGGGGAGTGTATGTGTCTGTGTGTACGGGCAGGAGAAGGCAGGGGGGACATTGCCTGTTTCTGCCACATGCAGGTGAGGCTTTCTTGTCATTTCAGAAACCCTGCCTATAACATCTGTGAATCCAAGCAGCTCCGGGTGAATGACAGCTTCTTTAGTTTCAGTGAATTCCCAGAGCACCCTGAGAATTTGGAGGAGGAACAGTTAGGGGAAGGTGCCCATTCTTCTCACACCCTGGCATCCCTGTTGTGCAGGCACACTTGTAGATGCTGACCCAGAAGGGAAGGGTTGGTTGGACCTCCTGGAGAACAAATTCCATACTGCACTCTTTAGCATCCTCTCCTTGTTCTGGGTGCCTGCTGCACTGGCAGTCATGGGTCATGCTTTCACTGAGCCAGTTTGTCCCCACTGGGCATCTGGGCCTATTTTTTACTGTTTTCCCACTTGCTCTGTCTTAGACCAGCATGTGGCTGGTTCCTGCTCAGTCTCAAGCAGTAAACAGAGTGGCCAAGTTCCTCCTATCAGCAGATCCTCTGTCATGACAGCCACTGCTGGCTCACACCTACCCCCTGCTACCTGCTGTCTCACAGTTCAGTCAAGTTTGGCCTCCTATGGCCACTGTACACACTCTAGTCATGCTCTATGATCTCAAGTTCCACATAGAGCAATCTCAAGTTTGGGGTGCACCCATTAGTCATCCCCTTTCTGTGGCTTCTTCCATACCTATAGCTACAACCTGGCCATCCGGGAGAGAGGGGGGAGGGAAAGGGGAAAATGAAATCCCCAAAGTGCAAGCACCAGTCCAAAGGAATGGTCTGCCTGTGGTTCACTGAACCCCTTGGTGGTGGGCTCCATGTAGAAAAACCACAACAGAAAGTGCCCAGGTTACTTGACTTGCTTCCTGGACCTGCAAGCCATCTTGCTGCAAGTTCCCCTGCCTGGGTCCCCTGGCTCTGCCTGCACCTGGACCCAGCAGCCATCTTACTGCAGTTCCCCCCTGCCTCTGAATTTGGCTCAGGGGTCACCCCCAGGGCACAGGTAGAGAGAGAGAGAGAGAGAGGACCGAGATGAAGTGGAAGGTGGCCAGGGGAAAGGGGGAAGGGACCTCTACCAAGGGAAGGAAGCACTGGTCAACACACAGCAAGATAAGGAAGGAAAAGCTTTAGAAAGGGGAGAGTGATGAAGGAGGGGTGAATGGGCCAGAGGTGTCTGGCCCTCTTTTCATTCTAGAAACGGGGTAGAAGCCCCATTAGAGGTGGGCAGGCAGGGTCTCTGGACTCCATGGAGACCAGCCAGGACTCCCGCAGGCAGGGCACGCTTGGGCGGGCAGATGGGATGAGGCCACAGGTGGGCATGGAGCAGTGTCTGGCTGGGAGTTGGACAGGTGGGCAGGGGCTGGGGCCGGGATTGCAGGGCAGTGACAGTGTGGAGATAGGGCCTAGGATAGAGCCATGATCCACTTCCCACATGTCCCTGTGATGGGCACCAGTTCTGTGGGCAGGGACATGTGGGGAGTGGATGGAGGCTCTGCCCCGGTCTCTGGGCTGGCTCCACAGTGTCACTGGCCCGTAATCCTGGCCTCCCATAAGGCCAGCATGCAGCACATCCATCTCTCAATGCACCCTGGTCTCAGGATTGAAGAACTGTCCCTCCACTGCCTCTATGTGTGCCACCAAACTAGGCAGGCATTGTGATAGAAACATGCTCAGGCACATATTTTCAGCTTCCAACAACTCCCAGGTAATCCTGATAAGTGGAGAAAAGCAAACAATCTTCTTTGCATGATGGGTCACGTCCACATTGCTCATCCACCCACAGCATGGCATGTTCAGTTGTTAGCACTGCTGCAATCCAGAAGGAAGAAATGTTGTTCCTATTACAGTATATTATTATTTGGAAGCTGAGCCAGTGATTAGTCTGGGCTCGTTACCAGCAGCACTTGGCTCTGGTGTAATATTCTCATGTGTCATCCTGGATTGGAGGCTGGTCCTTACTCTCTCTGTGTGATTATATTCCATAAACCTGAGTGCTGAAAAATGCTACACATTGTTCTTATGTGAAAATCAAAGAGTGACCTGTGTGTTTGACTTGCCAAACCCTCCTACACAAGTTCAGAATGTCACTGAGCTGTCTGTCAATTTGCCCCTTAGCCTGTCCTCTGTCACTCTCATTCTCATGAAGGTGTCTGTCTCTTCAAATGTTATCCTCAGTTAAATTTAAAATGGACCAGATGCTATGTTCCCTGGGCTCAGGCTGCCCCATAAGAGGTCCATTTAAGAGGCTCATGAGAAATAGCCTCTTTTCATAACAAATCCCTAGAGCTAACAGGCCCGGCTAGAGGTATTCCATTTGTGCTATAGGATTTGATCCTTAGCTAGGTGCAATCTGCTCAGGTCACTTTAATGCAGGTATGTTGGATTACACCTGCTAAGAATATGGCCTATCATTTCTCCCAGCTCTAGGGTTCAGTGAGCAAAGGTAACCAAGCCAGAAGGGAATTTGCCCTGCAATCACTTGTGCAGCTGTCATGAGGTAGTAGCTCAGCAGCTCTGTTCATAATTTTCCTTTCTTTTGGGAGATGGCCACTACAACTGTATGTCCCGCTGTGCACCTTGGCAGCACCTCTCAGCCACAGAGTGGCCTAAACCTGAGCTAATTTTTTCACTGTTTTGTAACACTCACACATTCCAAACATGGTGCACCCTCTCTGAATGCACATAAGGTGCATAAACCAGACTTCATAAACCAGATTGCCAGGGGAGTCAACCAATCCACTCCTTAGCTGGCAGAAACCCATGAGAGTTAATCCAGAGTGCTGGTCAGAGACACAAGAAAAGAACGTTAGAAAAGGCCAGGAATGTAAAGCACCAGTCCAAATGTGCTACCATCTTGAAGAGCAGCCAGAGCTAACATGAGACCTCACAACTTGTTTGAAGGCATCAAAAGGCTGCATGGGCTTGTGGGAAGATAATGAAAGGTCATCTGCCCATTGTGGGATATGTTTTAGTGGAAACTGGCTTCAGCAAGTCAGCAGTTGCTCTACACACACACACACACTCTCTCTTGTTAAAAGGAAAAAATGCATGGACCTTGGAGCAGAGTTAGAAGGACAGAAGTTGGAGGTGTGCTAAGGAGTCAATCCACGTGCTCATGGATAGTACATGAGCTGAAGCACCTCTGTGCTAGTTCTGTGATTAAAGAGTTGGTTTAATGTACAGATACAGGCCCAAATTCCACTCTATCTTGAGAAGGGCAAGTAGGGGTTAGGGCATTTGCCAGAAACACCTGAGTCCTAGGCCCACTTCACGCAGTGAAGTGCCTTGGCTACCAGGAATTGCCCAAAGCACTCTGCAGCCCTCCCTTTGAAGCTGACTCACTGGGCAGCCAAGGGGAGAAGATATGTGCAACAAAAGATCAAGTGAGAGGGTGCATTGCTCAGTGAAAAGGATGCTGCCATAGAAAGGCTGGGGCTGGGTTCTGGTCTCTTACCCTTGCTGGGGCAGATGGTTTCCTACTGCAGTCTACCCAATGACTTAAATACAAGAATACCAATGGGGCAGGAGTCAGGCTATGGGTGACTGATGCCGCCTTAGTCAGGGGGGGCACAGGGGGGGACCAGTCCTCACCTAAGTGGCGAGTGCAGCTGGTCAGGAGGTGCATTGGCGCTCTCGGTGGGGCATGTGCACCCCCCCATCCCCACTGAGTCAGGCAGAAGAAACAGCTATGTGGCATGCTGAGAACATACCTAATGCTTCTGCCTGTGACCCTTCCTTTCTCTGTGGCCATCAGCTTGGGGGAAATCTCGTGATATGTTACTAGGGCTCCTGTGGCAGACAGATGCTGGCTTGACGACTGCTTGTCCTGCAGAGGGCTCTGGGTAGAAAGGGCAAGTGTTAATAGCGTGGACACATATATAGACAGACAGTTAAGTCCTCTGGAAGTGGTGCCCACATCCATATATGCCAGCCAGAGCCCAGCCAAGAGAGATCACCCAAGATCAGTCCTGGATGATGCAGGACAGCCTCGAGACACTCCCGGCACATGAGCAGGAGGTTGCACTCTGCTCCCCCATCAGCGATGCCAGCCACCAGAGCTGCAGGCTCCCACAGCCCAAGGCCTCAGGGACTAGTCTTGCTGCATGTTTCTCCGGGGAACTGCCCCAATCACCGATTTAGGCACCAACAGACACCGAGCGCATCCTCAGAGCAAAGCAGCTCAGCCCCTGCCCTGGCTCTCGTGAAAGCTCAGTGTCCCGCAACCCCTTAAAACGTTGCTTTATTTCTTGTTAAGCTCCGCGCCTGCCCCTGCCCTGCGCTCACCCTTGCCAGAGGAAGCCCTGCTGAAGGGAAGGGGCTGATGCGATGCGCCAGCAGGAGCTGAGTCTCCCACGCGACAGGGCGCTCCCGCCACGTGCCCTGCACCAGGTCCCGGGAGAGCCCAGGCCGGGGAAGGGAAGGGCAGGTCTGCCTAGGTGGAGCCAGGCTCCGCCCGCCCTCATGCATATGCAGCGGCTCTCCCTGCCGAGGTTCCTATTTCTGCCGCACACAAAGGAAGGAAATCTCTTTCTCTGATCCTTTTCTCTCCTCCCCCACCCCCCCGGAGCCCCTACCTCCCCGCCCCGGGCTATGCTGCAGGGACTGTGCGGTGTCCCCGCAGCTCGCTCTGCCGCTGCCAGGCGCTGGGAAGCTGGAGGTTATTTGGTTTGTTGGGTGGGTTGTTTTTTTTTGCTTTTCGTTTCGGATCCTCCCTGCTCTCTCGTGCCTCTTGCAGCAGGCGAGCCAGGCAGCCCTGTGTCATGACTTATGAATTAGCGTGACTCAGGGATCGCCCACCCTCCGCAAGGGGATCCTCAGTCCGACCCGGCAGGGAGGCAGGGCTGGGCTGCGTGTGCCTGCAGCATTGGAGATCGCTGCTGCAGCGAGGGGTGCTGGACACCACGCCCTCCCTGGCCTGGAGTAATCCTGCATGACCATCACAAAGGTAGGAGAGCATCGGACTGGAGCGCAGGGTGCACCTGCTGCTAAAAGGCAGACAAGGTGCTTTGAGTCAATCTGGTATCTTTTATTAGACCAGCTTAAAGAGTGGGAAAACATTTTGCTTTGCAAGCTTTCGGGTAGAAAATCCCCTTCCGCAGGCTGAGGAAGCATCTGCAGTTGGTGTGCGCTCTTGGATGGAATGAATAGTAAAGAAGCCAGAGGCTGGGCTGCACACAAGACAGGCAGTCAGTGAAGATGTAGATTGAGGAGCCAGTGGGTGAGAGACAGGCTGGGGTTGGTGGGGTTGGTGGGGGGCGAAGAGGGATGAATGTAACAGTTAAATAGTGGAGAGGTACCTGGGGGAGTCAGATGTTAGGCAGGTTATATATAATGTGTCATCAATCCAATGTCTATATTTAGTCCATGATTTTTAGTATCCAGGAGGTTGATGAAGTGAAATTCATAGGCTCATTTGTGAAAGGTGTTCTGTAAATTCCCCTTGAGGATCAGAACTGAGAGATTGGAGAGAGAGTGGTTTTCTTGTGAGAAACGTGCCCGCACAGCTAATTGGGTATTCTTGTCTTTGATAGATTTCCACAGTTGTTGTTTGGTGTCTCATACAAATTTTCCATCGGGGCATTTGGTGCATTGGATGAGATGTATTACATTTCTGGAGGTGCAGCTGTAAGATCCAGGAATGGTGATGGTTCTGTTGTGGGATGTAGTAATTGTGGGGGTGGTGGAGATGTGTTGGCAGGGTTTACATTTCTTGTCCTGGCATGGTCTGGATCCATTTGGTGTATTTTGGGCCATAGAAAGTTTGCTTCTGGTTATGAGATTAGTGAGGTTTGGTGCTTGTTTGAAGGCTAGGATGGGTGGTTCTGGGAAGATCTCTTTAAGAACTGGGTCTCCTTCTAGTAGAGGTTGCAATTGTTTGAGGATTTTCTGTATAGGTTCCAGGGAGGGGTGATGTGTCGTAACCAGTAGTGTGCGATTCATGAGGGTTTTCCTTCTGTACTGTAGCAATTCTTCATATAGTATCTGGGTGGCTCTTTCAATAGTTCAATCTATCTCTCTGGAGGCATGTCCTTGTTGAGCGAAAGCATTTTTGAGATTTGTGGGGTGGCAATCATGGGTGTTTGGCAGGGCAGATGACACTTTTTTAGACCTAATCTACCTTTGCAGGCAATTGGAAAAGTTGGCATCTGTGTGGTGTCTGCCATGTGACCCAGAGGGAAAACCAGCAGCATTCTATGTGGACTGGCAATGCTTTTAGCCTGTCCAGGTTGTATTTGGTGTGCTCTGGGTGTGGGTTGAGCTGCATGCAGCATGCAGTCCCACAGGATGCAGGTATTGATGTCTCTCCAGCTTTGCCCTGCTTGTGGTCTGGGAAGGGTGGTGGCAGCGTGTTGCTTGCAATCCCCACTGGGTGGAAAGGCAATAGCTTTGGGCATGATGTGCTGCCAGTGGAAAGTGCAGGCAGGCAGCTATGTTGTGCAGCCCATGCAGCCCTAAGGGAACAGCTTCCCTTTTACACTTTTATGCTGTGGTGGTGTCCTGACAGTGCTGCATGTAAAAAGGTCTGGTGAGAACTCAGTGCCGGGGGAGAGGCTGGAGCAGAATCCAAAAGACCTTGGAAATCCATAGCACTGGGAAGCATTACAAAGCCAGTCCAGACAGTGCCATGATGGAGCTGAAAGCTTAGGAAAGGCTGAATTTGGGGACACTGGCTCTCTACCTCAGTCTGATATATGTAGAGTTGAGCAATAACTCTGTGCCCCCACAATAGCTCTTTGGCAGGCTGTGCTAGCAGGATTTGTGCTTTGAGGGGCTACCAGAGCCAGAAGGGGAGAGAGTCACTTTTTACTTGCACTGGGCTGGTGCCACTGGAGAGAGCAGCCCTGTCCCTTTCACGTCTGCCATGCTTTGACTCCACCACCCTCTGCACCTTGGGCCTCTCAGCAGTCCCAAGGTGGGTGCAAAGACAAAACTTCTCCCAGCTGGGCCTCAGGAGTTTGGTCCTCTGCCTAGGGCTGGATGAGATGCAGTCACAAAGTCACTGCCTGATGCAGGGCCCCTCTGAGTCTTCAGAAGAATCCAGCACAGAGTACATGGGTCCTCAAAACCCCACCCCTACATAGACACATACACACATGGTGTCCAACATATGCAGGCACATGGATATGCATTGTACACATACACACATGCCTGGGGCTAGGAGCAAATGATCTTATACCTGGTGTGTGGAGGGTGGTGACCACACAGCCCATCATGAGCTCTAGGACTTTCATTTGCCATCATGAGCTCTAGGACTTTCTTTGCTTGTATGTTTGGCACCTCATTTTGACTGTCTTGGCTGTCCAGGCCAAACTCTGTCACGTTCCCTCCCTTCCAGGGCAGATAATCTTGTAGCCTAGAGGTGCTGGATGGTTACTTTCCACTGTTCCTCTATGTCCTGGGCAGCAGCTTCCTGCAACACGTGATACTGCACTTTCCTGCAGAGACAAAGGTTCCTCTTCTTCCCCGAAAGGCTACCCCTTCCGGGTTCGAGTCTGCTGTCAGTTGGCTAGCTGGATGGGACTCCAGCAGTAGGCACTTTGATGGAGCCTCTGGGAAGCAGGGCAGTAAGCTGCAGCTCCCAGTCCATGCACTGGATCAGCTTTTACTAGCCCAGGGGTTTTCAACTGGAGGTACACGTACCCCTGGGGGTACTTCTGATGGCCTCAGGAGGTACTTGGCAGTGGGAGTCTTGTCAACTGGCTTCTGGGGGACCCGCCCCCCCCGCCCCGCTGCTTGTCTGGCTGCTGGGGGACTCCTGCCTTGTCAACCGGCTGCTGGGGGTACAATGACCCAAAAAGGTTGAAAACCCCTGTACTAGCCCATGGGGAACATCTCTGCCCCCATGATTACTATAAAATACTTAACTGGCTTTGTTGTAACGTCCTCTGCAGCTCTGCTTGCCCTAGAATCTTGGCAAACAAGAATGGTCCCCCAGCAGCCTCATGGAGGTGATCACAGAGGTAAACTAACTCTTTCCAGGTCATCTGAGAAGCTCATAGACAGGAGGGGAGTGAATTCTGGTATTTAGCCAACAGTCTTCTGGCTAGGGGCTGGGGGCTGTGAACCTTACTGTACTCCGATAGCTGCTATAGGCTTGTGTCCCAGAGAGATGAGCAGCAGGACTAGCAAGGCATAGTGAAGTGCATACACTTTGCTGCAGCCCCTCCCTGCTTTGTGTGGTCTGGGCCTGGGCTGTTCTTCACAGAGCAGAGTATACCAGAGGCTGGAGCTGCACAGCTGTCACAAACCCCCTGAATCCCACACAGCCAACTGCATGCAGCTCAACTTTCTGCTTTGCCTGGAGGATGGTGGTATGGGTTGCACTGGGCACAATTTGAATCTGTTGAGCCCTGAGTATCCCCCTCCAGCTTATAGCAGTGAGAGCAGCATGCTGGCCAATGTACCCTTTGCTGCAAGGACATCAATCCCAGCCTCACCCTGCACATCTTAAGCTGCTCCAAGGCTGTGGGTGTGTCTCATAGTATACAACAGGAGCTGAAAGTGTCCAGCACTATGGAGGTTCAGGTGCTCAGCACATACCATGGGTGGAAGTTACTCTATCTTCACTTCTCTTTGGTTGTACTTGCTCTTGGAAGGCTGCAGGATGTCATTAAGATCCCTGCAGCCTGTCTGTGTGCAGTAACAGCAGGAGTTAGTGGTCAGTGGTCTCTGCATTGTCTGTGACATCCCCTCTGCAGGCTGCATGAGTAGGACTTCCCCTCTCTGCCCCTTTGACTATGTGATTGCAACTATGTCCCCCAGGCAATTTCCTGGAATTTCTTTCTGTATCTTAAGCTTTACCATCTGAAACCGGCTACTTTTGTACCCCATTATCATCAGTGGAGCCACAGGAGAGTCACCCAGGGCAGAATTTGGCCCAGAGGTTGCATAGAAAGTGTGCACAGGTGCTGCTTATTGACAGCAGTAGAGTTCCTTGATGCATTGGTGCCTTGTAACTGAGAGCAGACCCTGATTTTTGTGTCAAAGGTATAAACTACCCTTGGCACTAATCCCTGCCAGTGAAATGGCTGGGTGGTCCAGAGAAATAGCTGCAAGCCAAGACAATGCTGCTGGTACAAAATGCCTTCATCTTCCTTGGCCCCTTCACTCCCACTATGGCAAGATGCTCCGTGACCTCAGCCTGAGCTTTGATTATCCTGCAGGGGCATGCACAGCTTGGGGCTGTTGTGTCCCTGTACAGGTACTCCTTGCTTAATGTCCTAGTTACATTCTTGAAAAATGTGACTTCAAGCAAAATGATGTTAAGCAAATCCAATTACGTTACAAAGTAGTTAACTACTAGCAGGTGGCAGCCAAACATTATAACCAAACTTTGTGCAACATTAAATGAGTATGTTCTCTAATAGATCCACAACATAATAATGAAACAACATTAACTGGAATGACTTTAAGTGAGGAGTACCTGTACTTCTCATACAGTTAGCAACCCACTGACATCCTGGCCCCATTACTTGCAAATCAGTGAGAGTTTGGCCATTGGCTTCTGTGCCACCAGGATTGTTTAAAAATGAACACCCTATGGGGCACTTGCACTGTAGTCAATTAGGATGCAATCTCCTGCTCATCCAGGGAAGGCAAGTGAGCAGCTGCATGAACCTTTCCTGTGCCTTCTGATACCTGTCAGCCTGGGTTAGACAGTGGCACAGTATTTTGTGACCCTAGGTTTCTAGCTGAAGTCACAGAGCACTACCCACTGTTCACCCTGCAAGGTACAGTGCTCCCCTTGCCTTGGTTCAGTTCAAGAACTAATATGTAGAAAAACAGGCATGCAGAAATGGCCCTGCTGCATTGCAGCTATGCCCATCATGCTCAGAGTCCTATCACCCACTGCACCTGGCTGGTGCCTGCTCTGCCAGAGTCCCCATCCCAGAGCATCAGGGAAGAACTGGACCCCTGAGAGTGTTGCTTCCTCAACACAGATGG